AGATGAGTATGGAAGCTTCCTGATATAGATATAGTTGTTGGACCAATTAACGAGGGAAGTGATTGCAGATAAGAAGAAGAAAAAGCTAGCATAATAATTGGGACTTTGTTACAGTGACATGCATGTTACGGTGACTCGTATTCATGTTTTTCGAATTGAGCTTCAAAGTAGGCTTCCCAAACACGTTTCCAGACTTAATCATTTTCAGACAGTTTTCCAGTTTTGGCATAACCTTTTGCTCAGGTTCAAAAATGGTATTCTGAACTTCATATCGAGCTCTCAATCACTTCAATATGTAAAGGAACACTCCAGCTTCAAAACAAGCCATTAATTTTCAATTTCCATCTAGCCAATTGTATGATATGAATCTCCAACGTAGCCACCATGAAACTGTTTTTACACTGAAACAACATATTAGGTCGACCTAATGCTAAATGAGGTCGACCTAATCCTAACTGAGGCCGACCAAAAAGTGCAAGCGACATGCATGTCATCGTAGGCCACCCTAATAATTGACTACGAAGGAAGGTTCACCTACCAAGCCTTGATCTTTTCATGCAGAAGTAGAATGCCTATAAATGGCCATGGTTGACTGGTTGTATTGTGTATGAATGGGGTGAAATTAATAAGTCATTACGAGATATGGGTGGTTGGTGAGATGTAAACATGCCAATCAGAAAGCAATAAAAGAACATCTATTGCTTCATATTCATGTTTGTGTAGCTCTAGGCTTGGCAATTATACCCATACCCATGGGTTTATAACTATCCAACCCATTTGGGTTGAGTCTGAAATCCAATTAAAGTGTAAATGAATAAAGTCATATGGGTCAATACCCATATCCATTATGTTGGGTTTAATTGGGTTTTACCCATGAACTTGGGTTAAAAAATCCAAACCCAAATAATTAAAAAAAGAAAAACGAAACTAAAAAGAAAAATAAGATTAATCAAAAGAGCTTGCTAGCAAACTCATCCAACGGCGTGCCTTCATCCCTACTATTAGCACACTTTCCAGCCAGCTCCCGGACCTCCGCCGGACTCCTTCCGAGCGCCAGCCCGACCTTCATCGCGAACACCTCACCATTTTCTCTCTCCTCAAATCCCGATTCGCCGAGAGTGGAATCGATCGATTCCTCGAGCTGATCGAAAAACCCGGCGCAGTTCCTGTACATCTCCACCACCATCCCGATCTGCCCGCCGTGCTCCACTGCCACTAGCTCCGACGTCGCCGCCGCCCAGTGCTACCAAGCTTCGAGTTCCTCCATTCATCGTCCCCCAAACCCTTCCCAGGTAATTGACTAATTGGGTTTTGCTAATTGAGATTTAAAGTCCCCTCGTTCCTCTTATCTAGTATATCGTAGTACCTCTGTGAAAAGGGCTTCCCATTCCATGGATTTACAGAGCCGCTATAGCTGATTCCGTTGACTCCCGCTGTAGCCGCTCCACCGTTCGCCTTGGTGAGCTTAGCAGCAGCTGTTTCGTCCACCACATCAAACAAGCGGACTAAGGCAAACACAGCGGGAAGGAAAGCAAAGACACTAGGGTAACAAACAATCGCTGGGAGAGTTCGAGCTAAGTTTCAGGCAAGTTCTTGCTCTTCCTTTGTTCTTCCGGTTTTCTTTACTCGTATTGTCTGGAAGATGAACGTAGGAAGAACCAAGAATTACTAGCACAGAGTATATGAATTTGGTTTACTCTTTGCTTATGATTTAATTCCATTTGCATATGAAGTAAATTCAGTTGAACCCAATTGCTTGTTTTGTTCTCCGGTGGGTTCATTTTTATCCAAACGAACTGATTGATTCTACCCAGAAGTTAAGAACAAGAGAAACTGAGAAACGTATGCATTTCTGTTCCAATTAAATGAGTTCCAAGCTCCTGAATCTCGCATTCTGATTAAATTGGCATTCGATCTCCACTGCTCCACACAGTTTTGTGAAGCTGATTCATGTTACCAAATTCTGGGTATATGGAGCAGTGGGTTTAACCGGTCCAATGGATTTGTGATTTCTGTGTGGCATTTCGTTATCTACAGGGTGCATACACAGTAGGCTAGGCATGTAGAGTTGGTTTGATATCCTTGAATACATCACTCACGAACTCAATATGAATGCTTGCAACTCAAAATTTCTGTTCTAGTAACAGAGATTGTAGTAGAACCAAGAACTAAACTAATGAAGCTTTGAGTGGAATCTGTAGTCAAGCTAGTAAAGGCAAGTAGGCAACCTGCAATTTGGTTGAATAATTGTGTAATGTTGTCTCTGTTTGAAGCATTTTTAATCCTTATTTGGTTGAATGATTGTACTGTTGCATTAGTTTGAATGATTGTTTGTTGCTTGCTTGATTTTTCTAGGGAAATATGGATTCAGAAACTAATGATGATAGTCTATCTATGAATCATGAGAGTAGTAATGGACAGCATAGTGTGTCTTCTAGTCGTATGGTATGGTCTTTTGGGAAGGAGTGGTCTGAAGTGTGGAAGGATTATAATCGAGTTGTAATTAGTGGGCTGAGAAAAGCTGAATGCAAATACTGCCATAAAAGGCTTGCGGCTGAATCCAACTCTGGAACTTCTCATTTGCGCAATCATTTGATTAAATGTCGAGTAAAAAATGCCGATCTAGTCAAGGTTGGTGGACTTTTGGGTAGTAAGAAAAGGAAAATTGATACTGGAAGTTCGAGTCCTGCTGTTTTTGACCAAGAAACTAGTAGAAGGGAGCTTGCTTATATGATTGTTCTTCATGAATTTCCTCTATCGGTTGTCGATTATGTTGGGGTTAGGAGGTTTTCGTATTCTCTTCAACCGTTGTTTCAAATGGTTTGTAGAAATACAATCAAGAGTGATATTTTAAAGATATTCAAAAAGGGAAAGATGAATGTAATGCATGAGTTAGAAAAAGTCAGCAGTAGGGTGGCGATTACCACTGATATGTGGACTTCGAATAACAGGAAAAGAGGGTTCATGGTAGTAACTGGCCACTTTATTGATGATGCTTGGGTTCTTCAGAGTAAGATTTTGAGTTTTATCCACGTTCCTTCTCCACATACCAAGGATGCTCTATGTGCTGTATTATTGAGTTCTATGACGGAATGGAACATTGAGAGAAAAATTTCAACAGTGACGGTGGATAATTGCAGTACTAATGATGCTATGATTAGAGCTCTTTTAGGAAAATTGCAAGAAGATACGTTGTTGCTAAATGGTTCTATATTTCATATGCGATGTGCTGCTCACATTCTCAACCTAATTGTGCAAGATGGGTTGTCTGTCATTGGGGAATGCATTGGGAGAATTCGTGATAGTGTTATGTATTGGACTTCATCTGTTAAGAGAAGACAAAAGTTCAATGATGTGTTAAGAAGACTTACAAATATTGATTGTTCGAGAGAGTTGGTGCTTGATTGTAAGACTCGTTGGAACTCTACTTACCTTGTGCTATCAACTGCTTTGATATATAAGGATGTCTTTGATCGTTTGATTGTTAGAGATTCATATTATGTATGTTTTCCAAGTGAAGAGGAATGGGATATGGCATCTGAATTATGTGTGAAGCTAGAGTTGTTTCATGAAGCTACAAAGACATTTTCAGGAACTACTTACCCCACGGCTAATACATTTTTCCCTAAGGTCTGTGAGATTAAAATAGCTCTAAACGAGTGGCAGTTGAGTCCAAATGTAACTATTGCAACCATGGCTGAAGATATGTTGGATAAATTCAATAGGTATTGGGAGGTTATCCATGGAACTTTGGCTGTTGCAGCTATATTGGATCCTAGGTTCAAGATGAAGCTATTAGAGTGGGCATTTCCCAAGATTTATGTTGGCACATCTACCTTTCATTTTAATAGGATTCGAGACTTTTGTTATGATCTTATGAGTGAGTACAAGACTACAGAACCTAGCATGGATTCTTCATCTTCTTCATCGACACATCAACATGCAAGTGCTGGGTTTCTCGCCAGCTTTGATTCTTATGTTGGTAGATCTAATTGGAATGTTAAAGAAGAGTTTGACAAATACTTGCGAGATGGTGTGATCCCAAGAAGCGAAGAGTTCGACATTTTATCTTGGTGGAAGAACCATGGCCTACAATATCCAACCTTAAGGCTGATTGCTAAGGACATTCTAGCCATTCCAGTGTCAACAGTTGTCTCAAAATCTGCATTTAGCACAAGTGGAAGATTATTGAACCCTCATCGTAGCCGCCTTGATGACACGACTGTGGAGGCTCTTATGTGCACCCAGAACTGGCTTAGGAATGAACTTCAGGGTAAGAAACAACTTGTTGTTGCTGTTATTCATTATTGGATGATTTTCATTGTTATATGTTGGTTTCCTGGTTTGGTGCATTATTTACTAGCTACTGGCTTTCTACTTGATGATTGAGTATGTTATTCATTATTTTGCAGGTGTAGCCATTTTCTCTCCTGATGTTGATGGTTCGACTCAAACCATATTCTGTGAGAATGATGGCGGTGATGATGAACAAGTTATGGAATATGAGGACTGAGAAAGAATCTGAGAGTTTGTTTGATTTGATTATGTAGTGAAGTTATGTTCAAAACTCAAAACAAAGTATCTTATTTCTGTTGTTGGGTTCCTCTGTAATACTCTGTCTTGCGGTAGTGTGTGTTCCTCTGTAATACCCTTCCCTTATAAACAAGCTTTGAAAGAGTTGTAAGCACAGTGTTGGATTCAATGGTTTGAAATGGTTGATAGTTTCAGGTTCCCTTTGGGGTGATTTGTTGATAGTTGCTTGCACATGACTCTTAGCCCTGCCTGCAAATTCCCCTACATCAGCAGCAGCAGCCACCATTAACTATGAATCTCATCATCTGCAGTATACAAGACATCCAGAACAACAACAACAACAACAAAAGAAAAAAGGATAGTAATTATAATAGAAATGAAAGTTGTGTTCTTGACTGACCATCATCTAAGTTCCATTCTTCCTCTCATAAAGTCTCATAAAGCCTGGATTATGAGATTCATAGTTAATGGTGTCTTGTATCCATTTCTCCCTTCTTCTCATTTTTCTTTTTGGCTCTTTTGTTGTTTCTGTTTTCGTAACTCACAGCAGGTGCGCTGTAGTGACGGGAGCGAACAGAGGGCTCGGATTCGCAATCTGCAGGCAGCTGGCTGCTAGTGGAGTCGTCGTGGTGTTGACAGCCAGAGACGAAAACAGAGGCATCCAGGCTGTTGACGACCTCAAAACCAACCATGGCGTCTCCTCCGATAACATCGTTTACCATCAGCTCGACGTGACAGACAGCTCCAGCATCTCTTCTCTTGCCGATTTCATCAAAACCCAGTTTGGGAAACTTGACATTCTGGTTGGTACTACCCCCAATTTGACCAGTTCCGTAACAACTCCTTTCGATCCTCGAAGTTATGTCTAATTCATCCAAAATTGACTGTTCCAGCCTCCTGCTGAACCTTCTCTGAAGACGACGAGGACGACTTCGACGGAGAAGCCTTCAGAATAGCCGGAACAGGAGGAGTAACCCCAACCGCTTCCGCCGTCGTTGCCGAGGATTTGATCCTGATTGCTGATAGTACCCGAATTGATCCTGATCCATCACCCCCACCGCCGGGCCTCTAGCTCCTTCTCCGAAACCCTGGAGATCCGAATCGACCGGCGTCCGAACCCGGATCGGAGGCAGCAAGTTCGTCATTCCCGATGGCGAGGTCGAACACGACGAACCGCTCGACGGCGGGCCGGTTGTGGTCGGAGGCAGCAAGGTCGAAAGCGGAGGCACCGGCGTTCGGCACCGTCGAAGCCGCCGCCGACGAAGATATGGAAGCCTGGAACACGATGGTCGCTGTCGCTGACAGCCAAAGTTACACTTTAGTACCTAAAGTTTTTAAGAAGATACAAATAGGTCCAGCATCATATGTGGAAAATTACATTTTAATACATTAAAAATTTCTCTTTACATTTTAACACCTAATAAAAAAAACATATACAGGCAGGTCCAAGGAGATGGGTACCCAAGCCCAATCCATACCCAAAAATAAAATCCAAACCCAACTCCACCTACCCAAATCTTATCCAAATCCATATAGAATAAATCCATACACAACCCATATAAATGGATATAATTGGGTTTGGGCAAAAATACCCATGGGTGGGTAAATTGCCATCCCATGTAGCTCTTCCAAAAATTCATAAACCCTTCCTCCATGAAATAAATTAAACAAGCCATTTGCCAAAACAAATCCAAACTTTCGCTTTGCAAGATAAACTACAAAGTTCCCATTTATCAAACAACATCCAAAATCCAACATGGTATCAGAACAATAGTCAAAATTCAACAATTGATGAAGGAAGAAAACCTTATAATGTATCAATAATTTTGTACTCAGATGAACATCCAACACTTAGATGTTAACATTTCCAAATCTTAAAAACAAATTGCAAAAAATGGAAAACAACAATAAGATTGGTCAACTCGAGAGATGGCTGCAACAATCAGTAGGATGAGTTGAAGTGTATTTGGCTAAAGAAGGTGTAAAATAGTTTCATAACTTTTCTTGTGCAAAAGGAAATTAATGAAATTCCTCAATTGCACAAACTAATTACTAATCAATTGGGCATCCTGAATGTAAATGAAATCATTTAGATGTTTTTTGGGGTGAATGTGATCACTAAAGATGACCCACAAATTAAAATTTTGAGTTTCTTACAACGGACAATTATGGATGAATTGAAGTCTTGAAAATATAACTTTTTTATGTCAAGAAATCTTGGCATAAATTTATAGGTTATTCCACTCCATAATTATATGTTAAATTCACATGAACAAGTATATATGTAGATGCTTAAATTTTATGCACAGTTATACTTATTGAAAAATAAAAAAGTGAGCTGGGAATGTACATGATGAGTCGACGTCATATTCGGGCTAACTCGACCAAGACCTGTATCGAGCTTATTTTTTCTTGTATTGTGTCTTTTCAGCTCAGTTTTCAAATGGGTTAATACCTTGTTATGGCCTGAACTATGACCATGTAATCAACTTTGGCCAGTGGTTTGAGAAATTAACATCCTGGCCCGATCTATGCAGCATATTGACAAAATTGGCCTGGAGCGTGGTTTGACCGTTTGTTTGGACGGTCAACACCGTTGACCGTTAGTCAACTGTCCAGGTCACTGCCATGTCAACATAAAAAAATTACAATTTCATTTTTCTTTTTATTTCATTTACAAAAATTGAATAATTAAAAAAAATCCAAAAAATTTGGCCCACCCATCCCCACCTTATCCCCTCACCTTCTTTCCTTTTCGATCAAACCCAACCCTATTCCATCTTCTTCCTCCTTCTTCCCCGACGGCGTAAACATCCTTCCCACCTGGACCCTGTGATTGGGAAGAGGCTTTGCCTGGAGGTGGAGAGGTTGGGGTTGAGCGCCGTGATTATGGGGAGCCGAGGGTTTGGGGCGGCGAGGAGGAACAGTAAAGGTAGGCTGGGGAGTGTGAGTGATTACTGTGTGCATCACTGCATTTGCCCAGTCGTGGTGGTGCGTTATCCGGATGATAAGGAAGGTGGGATTGAAGAAGGGAGTTCGAAGAAAGGGATTTCTTTGGTAGATGAGTGTGAGCTCCATCCCGTGCCGGAGGAGCAGGAAGAGTTTCACGATGGTTCTGATGAACAAAAAGGTTTGAATTTGCTTCCTTCTCAAATGATTTGGATTATATTTGAATCCCAATCTTGCTGAGTTATTTCTTCTTGTTGATGTTTGTATATGAATTTGGGAAGGATTGATTCCGGTGGTCATGGACCCTATGATTGGGAAGTCGAGGCTGATGTTTACGCCGTCGGGGAAGAAGGAGGAAGAAGATGGAATAGGGTTGGGTTTGATCGAAAAGGAAAGAAGGTGAGGGGATAAGGTGGGGATGGGTGGGCCAAAATTTTTGGATTTTGTTTTTTTTTTAATTATTCAATTTTTGTAAATGAAATAAAATGAAAAATGAAATTATAATTTTTTTATGTTGACATGGCAGTGATCTGGACAGTTGACTAACGGTCAACGGTGTTGACCGTCTAAACAAACGGTCAAACCACGCTCCAGGCCAATTTCGTCAATATGCTGCATAGATCGGGCCAGGATGTTAATTTCTCAAACCACTGGCCAAAGTTGATTACATGGTCATAGTTCAGGCCATAACAAGGTATTAACCCTTTTCAAATATATTTGACCATGCCTGAACCCTTAACAAGATTTGAACCATGTCGTGCCTAGACATACTTTTGTCGTGAAAAGTAATACAAAAAATGACTAACCCAATAGCCGATTTCGCGGCTGCCAGGCGCCAGTGTGCCAACAACCTACTTGCCTGGCTCATGCCGTGGCGTTGTCGGTGTTTCCCTTCTTCTTTTTTTTTTTTTTTTTTGACAAAGGGGACTTTATTGCACTTAAAACTGATCAGTTACAAAGAGGGAGAACGAACCAACAATCTGGTTCCAACAAGAGGAAGACCAAGGGCATTCGGTTACAAACAAAGCTGTGTAAGACAAAATGCAGCAACAAAGAACAAAATACAGTCTGCAAGCGACCACCCAAATAGAGCAAAACCCTTGACAGAAAACAGATCATCATGAATCTCTCTTGCAAACAACCAATCAAAGTGCAACAAAACCACAATCAGCTTGTCCGATCATATCGAAATCCATGGTAAGTGAACATCATCACTCCATGTGTCGCCTCCTGGGGAAAACTCAAAGGCATCCATCACAGTGAATCTAGAAACTAGACTGCATGGCGGTGGAAGATGATATGAACCAGATTGCTCCAAGCTGAAGAGGCAGAGGAGGCCAAGGCAGAGAGATCAGGTTCAAAGAAGAGCAGAAGCTCCCAAGGTAGCCACAAAACTCCACGGAAAACACCGATTCCCAACCGCAACCACCGGAGAAGACCCAACCCACCACCATCCGACGGCTCACCAAGCCACTCAAACACCTAGGGAGGTCGGAGAGGGAAAGAGGGGAATGGCTTCACCTTGAAGATGAGGCCACCAATGAGGGACTACCCCACCATCCAGATCTGGAAGAGGCTCCCAAGTTGCAGACTCCAGCTCCTATGACGAGCAAGCCCAAGAACAGAGAACCTAGATTTGAAAGAAGAGCCATAGCTCGACTAGAAAGGAGAAAACTGAAAGCCACAACGGTTGGAAATCCGATTGAAAACTGCCCAAGACACATGCAATAGAAACAAAGCAATATAAAGAAACAAAAACAGGAAAATAAAAATTTTGGGCTACCGCCGGTCACCTAAAAGGAGCCGGCGGCAGCCCCCGAAATCAGAAAAGGAAGACTGGAAGAAGAGAGAAGGCAGATCAAATTTCAAAAAGGAAAGGTTGAGAGAGAGTGGCTTTTTGAAAGTTACTATCGGTGCACCCTTGGAGGTGCTGTGCAATAACTGTACAAATTGAAGTTGCAGGCCGATGCCGGGGTTTTGGTGTCCAGGGTGGGCACCACCGCCCGCCTTACAACAGTAACTACTGCATAGTGAGTGGGATGTGATCACTAAAGACGACTCCCAAGTTACAATTTTGGTTTCGTTGGACCAGAAAATTATGGAGATAATTCTTTTTTTATGACGAGAAATCTTGGCACAAATGTATAGGTTTTTCCACAGCCATGAGATTACAGCAAAATCTGGTGAACAGTGTCTCCGATTTTTTCTTGATGAATAGTGCCCGATTTTTTTTGGATGCTTGCGCCATAATAATCTACATCTATAGTATAATTTATAGCTGAAAAGTAAAACTGCACCCCCCATTCAAATTTTCCTGCCCATAGAGTGATTTTAGGAAGCTGATGTGGCAGAGTGTTAAGCGGGAAAAAAATAGGAGTCCCCGCCTGATTGCACAACTAACAAACTGTCCACTACCCACCTTTTCTTCGTTTCCCACGTTGTCATATAATATTCATTTATTTTTTGTTTGGGTGAAATAAGCCCACCTTTTCTACTGGTTATTAAGAGAGAGAAGAAAGTCACAGAAAGGGAAGAGCAATTGTAGGCATATTACAGAGAGAGAGGGGGAAAGGTGAAAGGGAGGAGAAGGAAGGAGGCTGCTTACCCTTTTACAGAATCGATCTGCGGAAGGAATGGAAGAGGAGGTTTCTTACCCTTTTACCGTTTTACAGATTTGATTGAGGCTGTCCCCTCCGGAAAGAAGCACAATAACCGCCGCGGCCACCACCGTCTCCCCCAAACCCGTGGCGATGAGGTTGATTTTCGATTGAGGCTTTCCCCTGGTTCTTGCAATCAGATTAGGTATCATTTCTGTTCTCCCTTACCTTTGGTTCCTTCGAAGTTCTTTCTTCTCTCTTACCTTTCTCTCTTCATACTGTGGATTGGATTCTCTAGGGATCAAAAGAGGTTTTTTTATTTTTCCCTTTCTCTTTTCCAATCTGAGTTTTTCTGTCTCAACCGTTTCACCGTGCGGCTCGCTGTGGAGGGAGCTGGGGAGAAGCAGAGGGGGATTTGGGGGGATAGGCAAGCCTAAGCTAGAAATCTGCCTCCTGTGTTTGGAGAGAGGATGGAAAAATTTGACAGTGGAGGGAGAAAGCAACGGAGTCAAGGAGAGGGAAGGAGGAGCCATTGAGCTGCTCGATTCTATTTGTATTTTGTTGTCGTGTTGGGAGTGGAAATTTGATTGCTTTACTCTGATTTGGTTTGTGGGTTATGATTCTGTTTGTTTTTTGGGGTGAGAAAGAGAGAAACAATGTGGTGGATGCTGGGTGAGAATGGAGGCCTTGGTCTGAATGAAGTTGTAATGCGTACCATTTTTCAATGAATTTTGAACTCTATAGAAAAAACAAAATGATCTTGATATATAGTAAGCTAAGAAATTTGGGACTTGTCTGAAACGAATAAGGTTCCTATTTGAGAGTTGGTTGATTAGTTCCCCAACCTACTCTCATATTACGTAAACATTAATCCTTTCTTTTTTCATGTAAAATATAACGTTTTTGCCGCCTCCTAAATTTGAACAAATTAATCTAACCGCACTGGTCATTAGGATCTAGAATACCAACCACTAATGTCCACCATTTCCAAATTTTGTGGTCAAATTACCAGTGTTGTTCATTCTGTAACTATAGTTCTCATCTTTTTCCATTTGTGAAACACTTTTTTCACTTTACTAATTCCTACGCTGACATACCATTCACTAAACACAAACTCTACAGGCCAGACAGTGATGAGCCCTGGGAGATTCGCATTGCCTAAGTTGTAGACTCGGTGAATTATTGTTGATTTTTTGGGGCCATTCAGGTGAAATTTTTCTGTTATCAAGTCTGTTAACAAGTTGTGATACTGATTTGTATTGCCATAAACATGTCGTGTTTGGAGATGGTGAAGCAGCCTTATCTTAGAGTTCAAGCCTTTTGTAATTCATACCTACTCAAATCACATTATCTGTGACCCATCTCCATCTTCCGTATGCATTTTGTGTCATAATTTTGTTCGATTTCTTCTGTAATTACCAAATGAGGGGGGGGGGGGGTTAAAAGTAGATCCTCGCTAGATGAATGAGCAATTTAGGTCCCTCTTTTCAAAATTGCATTTGTTTATGGTTAGAAATTTACTATTCTCTTTGCCAAATTGTATTTGTTTATGGCAAGAAATCAATAAGAATGGATAAAACCAAGCGAATCAATTAAGAATGCAAACACGGGTGGGCAATGGGATGGTCCACACATGAACAAACCGATGTTTGGAGTGGATCATTTCGAATCGAATATAATTTGGTCCGATCTTGATCCTATTAATTTTACAAGTATTTAAGAAAAATAGCCCAAATTGACATTTAGACTGGACCAAAACAGATCGAATGCAATATTGTCTGGTCCTTGATCTTGAGATATCTTTCACTATTGGACCGCGATTTTTCTGAGTTTGTCTGATTCGGTCTAGACTGATGTCCACCCCTAATCGCAAATGGCAGGACCATAAACTAGAAGAGTCAAAAGATAACGTATTTGATTGAGTCATTATGCACTAGATATTTGTTTAGGGTTATGAGAATTATTATGTTAATAATTTGTGTATGCCATGTGTGTTATTTTTAAATTTATGCTCGGGCTCACTTGGAGTGATCTAAAGAAAGATGTGAAGTGATCTAAGAACATGAGCATAAAACCATAAACGCCCACTTATGTTCATAGCACTAACCAACATGCAAGGCAATAGGAATTTGTTCATCTTTATGAGAATCGTACTAAGAAATAAGGGTCAAGGTTTTGTTGCCTCAAGTTGTGTTTTGAATTTTATGACCAAGATTCTGATTTATATGGTTAATACGGATAGTTTGAGTAGTCAATGCAGTGGGAAAATTATTCGAGTGGCTTGGTGTTGTCTTCATATTATTATTATTTTTGTTGTGAAAGTTGTCTTCATATCTTTGTCTGTAAAAATTAAGAACCTACCGTATTTACTGCAATTGAGCTTTTAAAATAAGTGGAAAATGAGTGAAGCTCTAATCTCATACACAATACATCAGTTTTTCCCTGTTAGAGTAGCCAACTTGGTGCAAACTAACATATTTCGAAATGTGACATCCTTGACATGAAGGTTTTCAACATACCAATCGATGCTCAGTTCATATTTACTTTCAGAAATTATTCGACTTTTTTGCATACAATGGTTTATATGGATTGACCGATTTTATGGAGTTGTATTAAATTTCCACAACTCTAGCTTTGCCCACG